TGGATGCAAACTACACAACAATATCCATTTTTTTCGGTGCTTCTGATGAAAATAAATCGCTGAAATCATTGAAATATCTATTAATTTTACAGCGATTTCAGCGATTTATTTCCATCACGAGCACTGCAAGAAAGTGGATATTGTTGTAAATTATATATTCAAATTCGCAATGCAATATTCGAAATTTATTGAATTCTAAGTACTAAGTTAAAATATGATACTAATTGATATAAAACGTTTTGTCTAAAATTTCATTTTTTTAGTTAGAGATAGCGTACCCATACAGCACAGAAAGATTGCAAAATGATTGCAGATATATCTCATTCTAATGTTGTAACATTGCAAATAGATTGCGAAATGTTTTTGCAACATCGTTGCAATGTCATAGCATCATGAAAATGTCCGCCTTTAACAAGATTGCGCTGTAATGTCGTAGCATATTGCAGCGCAATGTATTTGCAACTATTATTAAAAATAGTTCTTTTATTATTACTAAATATAATTTGAAATACAATTTGTGATATAAATAAAAAAAATGCAGGAAAAGAACTAATATATATATTTTATGATATATATAATTTTATATTTTATATATAATATTTTATATAATTATTATATTTTATACTTAATTGTGAATTTTATATGTAGATATATATGTATATATTTTAATACATAATCGTATAGCTCAATAAATTCAAAAACTCAATAAAGAAAAAGGGCTGCGAGCCAAAAATCATTCGTTATAATTTAAAAGTTAAGAGTAGAAAATAAACAATTATATCATTATGTTGAAAATATTATAAACTTTAATATAAAAACAAACGTTTCGATTGCGATCGGATCATTCTCAATGTTTAAAAAAATTAGTCAGTATAGTAAAACAAATATAAAAATTACGTGAAGGATCGAGAGAGAGAGAGAGAGAGAGAGAGAGAGAGAGAGAGAGTAGAATAAACTATATATAAATTATAAAGATAAGCACTTCGCTTTCTCTAATTGTTTGAAAAACGCTGACGTGGACATGGTCGACGCATGATTATAAAGCTGGAATCAGTATTTATACCTTGCTGGCTTTGAAATATCCGAAAAGATTATACAATGCATGTTTTCTTAAGTCCTTAAGTTCCTTGAGGCCCAAATTTCTCCGTCGGTAAGGCAGATATAGAAAAATAGTTCAGACAAAACTTGTTCAGGACAATGGGGGTCATCTTTCTAATTCAATGAATTTGACTTTGAGGTAAATTTCCAAGGTCATTTGGAGGTCAGAGTGATTTTTTTAAATGGAACTAATCCCGAAACGCTTGCTTTGCAGTTTTGAAATATTTTGAACGTTTTTGTTAAGGAGTGAGGATGCTGAGATTTCCCAAGCTTTACCACAGTATAACATATAACTAGTAAGGGCACTTCGTGAAAAAATGCAGGTTTGTGCAGATATGGCTGCGCAGCTTTTGTTCTGGACCGGATCCAATGAAATGCAAGACAAAAGGAACGTATACCTGAGCTGGGTTCTGTTATGCACTGCAAATACTGAAAATCTATAGTGCATGTTACATATACTATAGATTTTCAGTACTGACAGTGTATGGCGGAACACGGTCCAGATTTGTTCGCGTCGCATTCTCCAACATACTCCTACTGTTCCTACTATAGCTCCTACTCATTCCAACCTTTAATGAGCACATTGAAGTAAGAGCTATGGACAGAACGGTTGCAACACTTTTTTCTGTGGATTTCGGAATGCAGCCTACTTACCGATTGGTTCTTACTTATGGATCTAATCATTTAATTCAACCGCCCTATGAGCAAGGTCGCATTCCAAAATCCATCGAAAAAAAAGTGTCGCAACCTTTTTACTGACGAGTGTACTCAGAATATATCGATTTAAGCTGAAAAAAAATTGAATCGACAATGAATCGTACTTCTCAGAATCGAATGGCAAATCGATTTTTGAGTGAAAAAAAATCGATTCTCAATGTTCGAAATCTGGCATCACTATTATAGGCTGCGTTTAGCAGAGAAAAGGCCATCACACGTATAAAAATTTTAGTCGTAATCATAAGGTCGCAAGCAAATCGATCAATCACAATCAAAATTACGATCTCGCGTTTTAAAACGCTCGACTGTGATTGGCCGATTTGCTTACGGCCTTACGATTACGACTACAATTTTTGTACGTGTGATGGCCTAAAGCTAGCTTGCAACTGTTGTAAAATTCTTCAACAATATGATTGGTTTATACATTTCGATCCATAAAAAACCAAAAGATAAAGATTAATCGTATTGAAAAAATTTATAAAAGTTAAAAAGCTACTTTCTCTGAACGCAGCCGTTAACGTATTATATTCGCGGTGTTATTGCACATGAGGTTATTTATAAGGTTAGATAGAAATACACGAGAAAATAGGTATACGCGAATAAGCACGAATAAATGAAAATACGGATAGATAGGACAATAAGTATGGATAAGTAGGGACTGTATAGGTAGGACGATATATAATCCTTAATTCGCAATCCTCAATTTCCAATACGTAGTGTGACACGGGCATAAGGTTCAGTTGCACCAACACTACTTTAATTTTAAGCGAAGCTTAAAACTCTCTTTGTCCCTGTCTCTTTTCGGCTTTAAAACGAGACAGAGAGAGGTTTAATTTATATTTGTCTCTATATGTCTTTTAGATCGTTATCACAATCAAGATAATCTTATATGTATAAGCGGTACTATATATATCGATATACATATAATTAAATATAATTAAAAAATAGCATATAACTTATTTTTATAAATATTTTCAATACTTTCATATACATTCAAAACGATGTACAATAAAATAAAGAAATGATTACCTCAAGATATCTTTGATAAAAATCACGTTATTAGCACATGCGAAACACAATGGTCGTCGAGCTAGACTTCTATGCAGTGGTGCCAAATTCTGGCTTCCGCTACTACTTAGTAACGCGTGGTGGGGGAAGAGAGAGAGAGAGAGAGAGTACCCCCAATCTATTTTTTAATTATATTTGATTATATGTATATCGATAGTATCGCTTATAGATGTGAGATTATCTTGATTGTGATAACGATCTAAAAAGGCATATAGAGACAAATATAAATTAAAACTCTCTCTGTCTCGTTTTAAAGCCGAAAAGAGCTGTAGCTATCGGAAACTACCTTCAGTTTCCAATAGCTACAGCTCTTTTCGGCTTTAAAACAAGACAGAGTTTTAATTTATATTTATATCTATATGCCGTTATCACAATCAAGTAATCTCACATCTATAAGCGGTACTATCGATATACATATAATCAAATATAATTAAAATATAGCATATAACTTATTTATATAAATATTTTCAATACTTTCATATACATTCAAAACGATGTTTATGACAATAAAATAAAGAAACGATTACCTCAAAATATCTTTGATAAAAATCACGTTGTGTGCTCGTGTGTTAGCACGTGTGAAACACGATGGTCGTCAAGCTGGATTGAACGCCTTCTATGCAGTGGTGCTAGATTCTGGCTTGAGCTACTATTTGGCAACGCGTGGTGGGGGAAGAATGGGGGTAGTTTCCGATAGAGTCCTAGATATCAGAGAAGCGCAACCGGCTTAAGTCAG